GAGAGAGAGAGAGAGCCAGAGCAATGACGTTGTACTCTTCTGAGAGACAGAGAGCAATAGCGTTGTACTCTTCTGGTTGTTTGAACTCTTCATTCCTTACAGTGTGAGTGAAGATCCGGACTAGAAGAGAGGCGACTAACGGGAACGGGTGGTCAGGCTCGCTGACGTGGTTGGCACACGTCATCGTATCCAAATCGCGTAGATCGATGCTCACGTTGTTGGTCACTGGATTGTCTGGTCCAGACCCGTCGACATATAGCTGGAATATTGCTGAGTGCGGCGTTCAACAACAAACCAGCCAACAACCATATGTGCCAATGTCAGGAATGGAACCCAGGCCTTTGGCGTGAACAGTGAAGGCTTTAATCACTAGGCTATGTCGCCGCATACTGTATACTGTTTCAAATGTTTTATTGAGATGCATATACAGACTCCATAAAACTCTCAACAGTCCCAAGTGACCAAGGTTTTGGAAGGCGTGGTGAAGTGAAATAGTGTGTAAGGGCGCGTTCTATATCATCCTACTGTTTTACTAAAGTACTGTCGGCAATAGAAAAAAACTGTTTTTTCACCTTTAGATCCACAATTTATGTAGTTAATATGTGAAAGTGTGAAATATCTGTGAAACTAAGTTTGGCCTAACTACAGTCTTGGTGGTAGGGAGATAGGAAACGTCAAAAAAAGGACTTTACTGAGGAGAGATTAGTGCAGAAATGAGCCATGTGGTTTCTTCTGAGTCCAAGTCGTCTTATTTGGAACAGACCTTGGCTGTATGCAAATTAGTGTGCAATGATATTGTATTACAAAGGACACTTTTTAAATGCCCATTTTGAAATTAGAATTAGCTTCATTAGAAACGAAAGCTGACGTACAAAATAACATTTTTACTTGTGAAACTCTTAAGGCTGTGGCTACCATGGAGTCTTACTACCACCAGAGACCATATAATTGATTATTATCTATTATATGGTCTCTGCTACCACTATAAAAACAAACAGACACGGGGGGTCGTCTCAAAAGCAAAACCAGATCGGGTGTCGCAGACGATGGCTGGGGTCGGGCTGCGGAATAGAGATATCAGCTGAGATAAGAAAATCCTTTAGGGGGATTAAACTGGGGAAGTAACAATTTACAAATAATATCCAGTCCTGTCAATCTTCGGGTGGCCATGCTACCTATATATTTTGAGTCATTTAATACGATGGCTGATTTAAGCCTTTCTATGGGTATCATACTGTTACATACCTCAACATAAATTTTATGAAACAAAGACACGTTAGATGTTAATCAATATTAGAGACATATCCTACACACAAGAAAACGCATAGACTATCTTTGAGATGACCCCTTGTGCCTGTAGGCAGCACGTGCATTTCATGCTCGGTGTGTCGATGGTCCGTCATCAGACCTGTCCGAGCGACCTAATTGTCATCTATAGTCTGATCTATTGTTTTAAGCAGCTATTCGTATTTTTTCTAAGTTTTGCCCGATTTTACCAGTAAACATGCTTAACTGGATATCCTATTACGCATCCCACTGAACGCCCAGTTAGTCCGATGTGGGTTATTTCGACATATGCTATTTGCAATTGTGTAAATTTAAGGGATACAGAGTAACAGCAACAGTGTTTTTTCTATTTCCGACAGTACTTTAAGTATCAAAACCTCCACGCGAAACTGAATGCATCTCATATCAATACCTTCCTATTGCTTAACTTTTGGTGAAATGATACAGTCTGCAGTTGTTTCAGTAGTAAAGTTGTGAATCGTGAATCAATTCCTGCAAAACAATACACAGTGTCTGTGTAATGTTCATAGGGTATTCAGCAATCATTCCTGATCTCAGTTGGGCACAGGGTTGCCCATAGTCTGTCTCACAGTCCCTGAACCACATTATTTTCCCTACTGCCAAGCCCTCTCTGCAGTGCTAAAGCCCTAAATAAAGCAAGTCTAGATTTCCTCAGGTTCTGAATCTCTGGTCTCCCTAGGGCTCCTTTTCAATATAAATGGGCTTGTTTGTTACTATCAAAATTATATATATTCAGAGACTAAGCCTTAGTCTAGGTTGCCCACTGTCTAAGGATCTGCAGTTTGCAGAATTGAGTTCCTTGGGCTCATCAGTAGGTTTACAGAACCACATTGTGCTTATGTGTCAGACCTGCACCAGTTGGGAATTCCCTCCCACATCAAACTGACATGCCCAGACAAAGCGGGAATACTATTAAAATAGGCATGAAACAGAATAGAAATCAATCCCAGAGGAGCTTGATAACCACAGAGCTACTTGACCAATCCATATACCAAGCTATCTGTTTGTAAACGGCCCCCTGCTCAGCTAAATTCTGTGTGACTTCGACCAGTAGTTAATCAAGGTTGGACCAGAAAATCCAGTAATAGACATCATAACCATCCACCGATCCTAGCAATCAGGATACAATGACAGCAATCAACCAAGTCAACCCGTCTGACCACCCGTGTCCATGCCGTTGCCTCTTACCACAACTATAAGCTGCTTGGGACCGTAGTCCTTGTTTACTGGTATATCAACTTAAGATGTATTCAGAAAAATCTAAAAATATTATGTTTGGAATGATCCAAAAGATTATTCACTAACATGGAACATGATATTTCAGATACATCTACAGCAATCAATATGGAAATAATCTCTGTTAATACCAAAATTACTGATTAAATAACCTATGGTTCTGTGAAGACGTTATCAGTGACGATTGGGTGATATTGTTACCGACTTAAAAGTCATCAAAAAATTACTTTATTTTTTAAAAAAATCCCGTAACAACACGGTAAACGAAACCATGTATTTTTTAGAATTAAAATAGCCCTGTTTGTTTTAACATCTTGCCTTTATGCTGCAATAAATTCACAAAATATGGTTGAACCTTCAACCTGGGCCAGCGTTTCTCAAAGCGATTGTAGCGCTACGACAGTCCTAAGTCTATGTTAAAGTATGGGAGTTACGATCATCGTAGCGCTACGATCGTTTTGAGGAACGGGACCCAGGTCCATTTCCTGTTACAGGATGCTGAGCACCTTATCCTCCAGTGATGCAGGCTACACATTCAAACGGTTCATGATTGCTTAAATATCATTTTATATGGTGACCACTGTAAAACATTTGACCAGGACACGGACATGACAAGTTCACCAACAGTCTATCAAGAGTTACAAGCCTTTGTTTGTAATCAATTGAATAGCTCATAAAATCCCTGAACAAGCTTGCTTGAGTACTACGTTGCCAAGTAACTGCAAATTCCATTTTAACTGTAAAGTGTAACATACCAAAACAATCTCAAAGGTAGTAGAAAGAAAAACAAAACGTGTTACAGAAATGCCCAGTATGCTATGGCTTTTCAATTTCAAATAAATGATGAAAAGTAAAAACATTTATATAATAAATGCAACACTTTGTGACAGTTCTGTGGCATGCCATGACTAATTCCTGACATACTGATGAAAAAGAAAAAGCAAGTACATTTTCAAAGAATTCCATTCTCTTGAAGTTGACAATGTGCTTCTGAGGGGAACTGTTTGGCACTTAGAAGACATCACAAACAAATCACATCTCATAATTGATTTATTACCACCTGATAGATATGTTGAGGTAACAACAGTCCCTACTTTCATGTATTGCTGAACTTTTGGATTTTGGACAAATACTATTTACACGACTAGTCTCTAAAAGTTAAGCATTTCATTACAAATACACTTTCATACTTTGTATTTTCTTCATCAAGTTCTTGTTATCCTCTCTTTCCTGAAAAAACCCAGAAGTTAATACAGTGGAAACCTGATATGTAATGGTTATTTGTGTCATGCACACATGGAACATACAATTGAAATGTATTATTAAATTGAACAAAACTAAATCCTCACTGGACAGACTGCAAGCACAGGTTGCAGTGGCTCCTCTGCCCTGCATTCCCCAATCCATACAAAACAGGGTTGTGTTGTGACATAGCGTGTACTGGAATCTCCATATGATACACAGGCGCTGTGTGCTGTGACCTGTTCGGCACTAGATTCATCACGTTGTCACTGGCCTATCAGACAGCACTTTTTCGAGCTATTAAGGCACTAGATTCAGTTGGTGACTTCATTTCAGATGCATCAAATATGAATTTGACAAAGTCCTCAAATTCCCTTAGGTCATACAGACATGAGGTACTGGGTACCTTCTCTGCCCTGGAATTCCCTTAGAACATACAAGCATGAGGTACTGGGGACCTACTCTGCCCCGGAATTCCCTTAGCACATACAAGCATGAGGTACTGGGGACCTACTCTGCCCTGGAATTCCCTTAGAACATACAAGCATGAGGTACTGGGGACCTACTATGCCCTGGAATTCCCTTTCTACACACAGGCATGAGGTACTAGGTACAGATTCTGCTCTGGAATTCCCTTAGTATAAGGGGACTGGGGACCTTCTCAAGACTGGGATTCCTTTGGATATACATCCATAAGGTGTTTGGGGCTGTCTCTGACCTGGAAGTCCTACACATTAATCAAGCATGAGGTACAGTTGATATATTCCACCTTAGAATCCCCACCTGTTGTAACTCTGCCTGTAGGATGACTCCGTGCCTCGCCTCCCCGCTGATGCGATTACGCTGGTACACCAGCAGCGTCCTGGAATACAAACACTACAGTGTACAGGCAAACTAACAGCGGGTTGCCTTCAAACTACTAGCCAGGGACCGAGAAGGCGTTTTAGTTAAAGCGGTATTGTTTACTTATCCGGTTTTAGTTAACAGACTCTAATAGTGATAATTAATGAAGAAATTTGCGGGACCAAAGAAAAGTGTTTTACTTATCCGGTATGTTTAGTTAAGCAGTCTTTACTTAGGCGGTTTCCACTGTATCTAGTATCAAATTGGATAGATCGGAGGCAAGGAGGTAACAACAGTCCCTACTTTCATGTATTGCTACGAACTTTTGGATTTTGGACAAATACCATTTACACGACTAGTCTCTAAAAAGTTAAGCATTTCATTACAAATACACTTTCATACTTTGTATTTTCTTCATCAAGTTCTTGTTATCTTCTCTTTCCTGAAAAACCCAGAAGTTAATACAGTGGAAGCCTGATAAGTTGGTTATTTGTGTCATGCACACATGGAACATACTATTGAAATGTATTATTAAATTGAACAAAACTAAATCCTCACTGGACAGACTGCAAGCACAGGTTGCAGGGCTCCTCTGCCCTGCATTCCCCAATCCATACAAAACAGGGTTGTGTTGTGACATAGCGTGTACTGGAATCTCCATATGATACACAAGGCTGTGTGCTTGTGACCTGTTCGGCACTAGATTCATCACGTTGTCACTGGTGCTATCAGACAGCACTTTTTCGAGCTATTAAGGCACTAGATTCAGTTGGTGACTTCATTTCAGATGCATCAAATATGAATTTGACAAAGTCCTCAAATTCCCTTAGGTCATACAGACATGAGGTACTGGGGTACCTTCTCTGCCCTGGAATTCCCTTAGAACATACAAGGCAAGAGGTACCAGGGGACTTACTCTGCCCCTGGAATTCCCTTTAGAACATACAAGCAAGAGGTACTGGGGACCTACTCTGCCCTGGAATTCCCTTTAGAACATACAAGCATGAGGTACTGGGGACCTACTATGCCCTGGAATTCCCTTTCTACACACAGGCATGAGGTACTAGGTACAGATTCTGCTCTGGAATTCCCTTAGTATAAGGGGACTGGGGACCTTCTCAAGACTGGGATTCCTTTGGATATACATCCATAAGGTGTTTGGGGCTGTCTCTGACCGGGAAGTCCTACACATTAATCAAGCATGAGGTACAGTTTATATATTCCACCTTAGAATCCCCACCTGTTGTAACTCTGCCTGTAGGATGACTCCGAGCCTCGCCTCCCCGCTGATGCGATTACGCTGGTACACCAGCAGCGTCCTGGAATACAAACACTACAGTGTACAGGCAAACTAACAACGGTTGCCTTCAAACTACTAGTATCTAGTATCAAATTGGATATTGGTCGGCAGATCGGATGATATTAAAGTCTGAATGAGGCTTAGATTTACACAATGCTTGCCTTCAAACTACTAGTATCTAGTATCGAATTGGATATTGGTCGGCAGATCTGATGATATTAAAGTCTAAATGAGGCTTAGATTTACACGCTACTACTTACAGAAGTATGAAGAAAAGGGGTATCACCACTGTGTCCGAGAGGCACCATGTGAAAACACTTTTCAGCCACTCCACATCTAAACTAGCAACGAAGTCGTTGTATGCTGATGTTGGCATGATACCAGTGCTAAATGGTCCAAAGCGTACTGTGGCGTTGTGAGTCCTGCCCAGATCTAATGTTGGACTGAAATGTGTAAATAACTATTATAAATGACAAGGATATCAATCACATAAATCACTGTAAGAATCTAAACAACCTACAGCAACAGAAGATATATTTGGACATGCTACATCTTTTTCCCCATCACATGAAAATATTTTGTAGGAATTCCCCCATCATGCACCATTATATTGTTTTTCACCCTTTATTTATAATTACATTGTTTTTCACTAATCACCCACAATAACTTTCTTTTTCAATGACATTGCACAGATACCTTAGTTATCCTACCCAGGGGTTGAAAATGCTTTCAAAACTCCACTGGACACAGGTGCTGGGTAAACTTTCAAAATCCACTTGACCAAACATTGATTTCACTTGACCACCATTAACAATTTGGTAGCAATTGCATTTTCATTTCATCATCAAAATACATATATCAAAATATTTCAGTAGTTTGGCACTACTGTACCACGATAAAGTTTATTGGATATTTACTTGACTGACCGGAGAAGTCCACTCGACCCGGGCGTCGGGCAATGGTATTTTTCAACGCACTCCCCTGCTACCTTCAAAGCGGGCAATGGTATTTTTCAACGTACCCCTGCTACCTTTCAAAGACCAACTCAGGCCACAGTTACCCAACCCTCCAATGACAACAAGCACATCAGTCACCCAACCTTCCAATGACAACAGGTACATCAGTTACCCTACCTTCCAATGACAACAGGCACATCAGTTACCCAACCTTCCAATGACAACAGGCACATCAGTTACCCTACCTTCCAATGACAACAGGTACATCAGTTACCCTACCTTCCAATGACAACAGGCACATCAGTTACCCAACCTTCCAATGACAACAGGCACATCAGTTACCATACCTTCCAATAACAACAGGCTCATCAGTTACCCCTTCCAACCTTCCAATGACAACAGGCACATCAGTTACCCTACCTTCAGTCAGTACAATAACAACAGGCATACCCTTCCAATGACAACAGGCACATCAGTTACCCTACCTTCCAATGACAACAGGCACATCAGTTACCCTACCTTCCAATGACAACAGGCACATCAGTTACCCTACCTTCCAATGACAACAGGCACATCAGTTACCATACCTTCCAATGACAACAGGCACATCAGTTACCATACCTTCCAATGACAACAGGCACATCAGTTACCCTAACCCAATTCCAATAACAACATCAGTCACCTTACCCTTCCAATGACAACAGGCACATCAGTTACCCTACCTTCCAATGACAACAGGCACATCAGTTACCCTACCTTCCAATGACAACAGGCACATCAGTCAGTTTACCCTACCTTCCAATGACAACAGGCACATCAGTTACCCTACCTTCCAATGACAACAGGCACATCAGTTACCCTACCTTCCAATGACAACAGGCACATCAGTTACCCTACCTTCCAATGACAACAGGCACATCAGTTACCCTACCTTCCAATGACAACAGGCACATCAGTTACCCTACCTTCCAATGACAACAGGCAACATCAGTTACCCCCTACCTTCCAATGACAACAGGCACATCAGTTACCCTACCTTCCAATGACAACAGGCATCAGTTACCCTACCTTCCAATGACAACAAGCACATCAGTTACCCAACCTTCCAATGACAACAGGCACATCAGTTACCATACCTTCCAATGACAACAGGCACATCAGTTACCCAACCTTCCAATGACAACAGGCACATCAGTTACCATACCTTCCAATGACAACAGGCACATCAGTTACCCTACCTTCCAATGACAACAGGCACATCAGTTACCCTACCTTCCAATGACAACAGGCACATCAGTTACCCTACCTTCCAATGACAACAGGCACATCAGTTACCCTACCTTCCAATGACAACAGGCACATCAGTTACCCTACCTTCCAATGACAACAGGCACATCAGTTACCCAACCTTCCAATGACAACAGGCACATCAGTTACCCTACCTTCCAATGACAACAGGACACATCAGTTACCCCAGCTGACCATCAGTTCCAATGACAACAGGCACATCAGTTACCCTACCTTCCAATGACAACAGGCACATCAGTTACCCTACCTTCCAATGACAACAGGCACATCAGTTACCCTACCTTCCAATGACAACAGGCACATCAGTTACCCTACCTTCCAATGACAACAGGCACATCAGTTACCCTACCTTCCAATGACAACAGGCACATCAGTTACCCTGCAGCTTCCAATGACAACAGGCACATCAGTTACCCTACCTTCCAGTGACAACAGGCACATCAGTTACCCTACCTTCCAACCCTGCAAGCTTCAACAGGCACATCAGTTACCCTACCTTCCAATGACAACAGGCACATCAGTTACCCTACCTTCCAATAACAACAGGCACATCAGTTACCCTACCTTCCAATGACAACAGGCACATCAGTTACCCTACCTTCCAATGACAACAGGCACATCAGTTACCCTACCTTCCAATAACAACAGGCACATCAGTTTACCTACCTTCACATCAGTTTACCCTACCTTCCAATGACAACAGGCACATCAGTTACCCTAATCCTTCCAATGACAACAGGCACATCAGTTACCCTACCTTCCAATGACAACAGGCACATCAGTTACCCTTCCAATGACAACAGGCACATCAGTTACCCTACCTTCCAATGACAACAGGCACATCAGTTACCCTACCTTCCAATGACAACAGGACAGCAGGTGCCCCAGTTACCCTACCTTCCAATGACAACAGGCACATCAGATACCCTTATCTTCCAGTAACAACAGGCACATCAGTTACCCTACCTTCCAATGACAACAGGCACATCAGTTATCCTACCTTCCAATAACAACAGGCACATCAGTTACCCTACCTTCCAGTCAGGTTCAGTTACCTACCTTCCAGTAACAACAGGCACATCAGTTACCCTACCTTCCAATGACAACAGGTGCATCAGTTACCCTACCTTCCAATGACAACAGGCACATCAGTTACCCTACCTTCCAATAACAACAGGCACATCAGTTACCCTACCTTCCAATGACAACAGGCACATCAGTTACCCTACCTTCCAATGACAACAGGCACATCAGTTACCCTACCTTCCAATGACAACAGGTGCATCAGTTACCCTACCTTCCAATGACAACAGGCACATCAGTTACCCTACCTTCCAATGACAACAGGCACATCAGTTACCCTACCTTCCAATAACAACAGGCATCAGTTACCCTACCTTCCAATGACAACAGGCACATCAGTTACCCTACCTTCCAATGACAACAGGCACATCAGTTACCCTATGACAACTTCCAGTTAACAACAGGCACATCAGTTACCCTACCTTCCAATGACAACAGGCACATCAGTTACCCTACCTTCCAATGACAACAGGCACATCAGTTACCCTACCTTCCAATGACAACAGGCACATCAGTTACCCTACCTTCCAATGACAACAGGCACATCAGTTACCCTACCTTCCAATGACAACAGGCACATCAGTTACCCTACCTTCCAGGCACATCAGTTACTCCTACCTTCCAACGACAACAGGCACATCAGTTCAGTTACCCTACCTTCCAATAACAACAGGCACATCAGTTACCCTACCTTCCAATAACAACAGGCACATCAGATACCCTACCTTCCAATGACAATGGCAACAGGAACAATGATACAGAGCAGTGAAAGGAGGAGAAAGGTCATGAAGAAGATGGTGTTGCGAGACTGTGCCCAGCGCTTGATTGGCGGCATGCCGGTGTGCTTAATAATGCCATACATGAGGAAGAAGAAGACCAGGTCGGACAGAGTCCCGATCAGAGGCAGGACGGGACAAGCCAGAGTACCAATCTGTAACAGACAGCCATAGACACTCAGAGCATCCAAGCAGAAACAATCCAATCGTACATTTCAAATTCAACATCAAGCAGATTTTAATCCCTTGAAAATCACATATACCAGACAGACAGATATATTTGGTAATTTAGGCCCTAGGCCCATAATTCATACATTTTGCAAAAGTATATACATTCTGAGTAAAGCAGAGTATAGTTTAGTATTAATTAATGTTATATTTACTCATTCCTAATATGGCGAACTTGTGAAAGATATTTACTCAAAGATTTTAAAATATGGACATAATTGTCTGATGACAACATTCGTATGAACGTTTCAGTTGTCAGTGGTTGAGTCAGATGATATGAAAAACAGTCAGTTCTTTAAACTGTGAATATTAATTACATTTGGATGACGAAAATAGTGAGTGAAGCAGTCATAAAATCTCTGTTTAAACATTTCCATGAATATGGATATACAGCCAAAGTCTTGAGATATACCATCTCCAACTGACATCAACAGCAGATATCACCAGGGCGATATCACAATTTACTGTTGCTATTTCATCATGTCATCAGGTATCATGACATCACAATCAAATGACAATACTAATCCTTCAGCCACTGAATAACTGTTTATTAACTAGAAGAAATGATTAAGGATGATAAATGGAATCTCACCCTTGTGTCTTTTGACATCAAATATTAAAATAGAAGCAGTAAACGTTTCCCAACTCATGTTGACATCTTTGAAATGAAAAGAGCGTTGCGTGAGATTCTCCGCATATTTCTTTGTGAAAATTCCACCATAAAATACATTTTAAATTTGGGCCATTTACAGTTCTTCAACATATAATTCAGTTTTCTTACATTTACAGAAAAAAGGATAGAGAAAAAGTAAAATCCAAGCTAAGAGTTCTATTACTTCCTGTACGTTCATGACAATAATGATATGTGTCCTTTTTGTGTCAGTTTATAAATCAGGCAACAGTTCTAAATGAAGTTTACCCAGATAAGAGCCTGTCTGTAGATGAGCACCAGGACAGATGAAGAGATGTTAAACTCAGATTTTTTCATAGTCCAGCAGTATCCAATGAACTGCAGCAGTACATTGGCAAGTGTCTATCAACAAAAATTCCACACAATGATGAAGTGATTCTCATCACATTGATTTCAAATATAGTTTGTTTGTAATCACAACATAATTTGATATATTTACTAAATTCCATTTTCTAGAAAATCCACTACAATTCAGGGTACGAATTGTGCCATGCCACTCACCAGTTATGTTCATTATAATGGGGTAGCCTATAGCTAGTGGTTAAAGCATTTGCTTGTCATACTGAAGGGTAGACATATTATAATCTCAATATGGATAGAGGTGCCATTTTAAGGCATGAAAATTAGCAAAATGAATATGGCCTTTTTATATTTATTTAAACCTGCTGACTCTAATGACATAAAAAGAAAAGAAAAAATATTACATGAAATAGCAAATATGAAACACATAATACAGTGTTTACTGCATTAAAGCGATGTAGACTGCCGTGGTCCCATCATATAACGTATCCCATTATAAATAAATATAAGTCTCTACTTCTGCATGCTGAACAGTCCGAAATCAGTGAATGTTGTTTGCTCCCCCAAATACAATGGCATCTAACTTACATGAATTATTGTGTCCATAATGACAAGCTTGTACATCTCCTGACCAATCACAGTCCCTGTACAATGGATGCTGCTGGCCTTACCAGGCTGGAATATACGAATATATCCACCTTAGACCAACTCTCTTCTTGTTATACACATGATATTGGTCAATAAGTTCTTTGTTGTTAAATGCCAGAATCAGCAACATTTCAACTGTATGATGGTTGCCTGTACATTGCATCTGATCCTGGATGACACAATCCAGTGATTGACATCATGAGCATAAATTCACCTCCTGGGATATGACAATATATGGATCAGCAAGTATGAGCTCCAATCCTGTTATTTGCATCTAAGGACAAGGATGGGTTGAAGAAGACCAAATCAAAACCAGATCTTCACAGAGAAACAATATGTAGGAGGCAAATTGTTTTTTTCAAAACAGCATCCAGTTATAGTTGCCTGCAGGTATATTATAAGGGTTGCAAGTCATATTCAATGTTGTTTAATACCATAAGTGAAGGAAGGTGTGGATGGTTCTAATACTATATGTTGTAACATGGTCTGTTTGATGTGGAGAACAGTAAGGCAGAAATGTAATCTTCAAACAATGTTAAAGAATGTCAATCTCAACATTTGGAACATTTCTGAGGTGTAAAATGTTTTTTTTTGCAAACAGTCCACAATGGCAAGTGAAGATGTAGATGCAGCTGCCAAAACAGAACCCAAGACCTGGTAAGATCAGTGTCAATTACACATAATATCTGACAATGAAGATCCAGGTAAGACTTGGTCTTCAGCAACCTAATGCTAATGTCGCAAGAGATCAGTTGGTCTGGCTTGTTGACTTGGTTGATGCATGTCATGGTATCCTAGTGGTGTAGATCGATGCTCATGATGTCAATCACTGGATAGTCTAGTCCAGACTTGATTATTTACAGACCGCTGTCACTTAGCTTGAATATTGAACAACAAACAAACAAACAAAACAAGTATAATTATGCATTTCAGCATTCTTTTGAACATTTTTCAAATGAGTGATCTTCTAACCTTGAGAAAACTATGTATTTTCTTAAGTTAGGCAAGATACAACAATAAGTAGAAGAAATGTTCACTGTATTGTATATATTGATGATATTCAAGGGATATTTGACTCACCTCATTCTTGTTTTGTGAATTTACCATGTTATACAAGGAGACAATGAGGGCAAAAAGATTGGCCATTCTTAGGGTGAAGATTCTCAAAAGGGTAACATTCAGTTCAATCCTTCCACTTGCATACTGCTCCATCTTTGGTAGCTGAAAACAAAATACCAAAGAAAAACTAGGGCTGGTTATTGCTAACAATATGCAGATCAGTAATGAATCAATAACCGACTATCATTGTAAAAACATCACACAACTCATGGGGGCAATAACGAAACACAATCAAAACATTGTGCAAACAGAACATGTACTGATTAATGATGATCGAGCATACTTCCTCTTGAGACATGATTGCAAGTACGTGGTTTACATTGCAGTTTTATGGTGCAGGAAACTGCATCTGTTGTTTAGATCTTCATTAACAAATACACCAATGAGAAACATTCTTTCTAAAGTTTAATTTGATGCTTCATTTTTTAAGAATATCGATTTGTCTCCCAAGCCCATCGATAATTGTTGATGCAATTGGAATCCATCAATTGACTGATTATTCGATCAATCTCTCCAGGACTAATGCAAATCAAAGCATTTGTAAATTGTTTTTCATGAAATGATTAACAGTATTCCCATCAAATCATGGCGACCCATGTTAAGGATGGAGGAGTGAGTGAGTGAGTAAGTTTAGTTTTATGCCGTACTCAGCAATATTCCAGCTAAATGACGGTGGTCTGTAAAAAATCAAGTCTGGACCAGAACAATCCAGTGATCAACAGCATGAGCAGCCTGAAGTGATGCAGGTCTTTGACCACTTCAGTGAAACTTCAAGGGTATGGTGCTAACACAGAAACACAACCAGGAAGAATTAGGATTCAAACCCATGATACTTGGTTTCTGACATGCTCAAGGGAGGCAACTCTGCATAGCAAATTGTCAAGACTTGTGACAACTGGACAACCCGTGCCCACAAAGCATGATTAGATATAACTAATTTCTTACTAATTAATATCTGTTTACTAAATACACTAAGGAAGAAAATCCTTCTAACGCTAGAAGTTCTTGTTGCATAACAGTTACATGTAGCCTCATTAAACAGTCCATATTCCAGTTCGCAATATCTTCCCCAATTATTACAAATGCTAATAACATGGCTCAGAACAAACTACCGTGACACAACTGTCTCCAGCCTACTGAGGACACCTGACTCCCAGTAACCAGCTGTAAATCAGACATTGTGCAGTTTATATATATTTCAATGATGTCACATTGATATCCCAAACTATGGGTTTTTACACATATCTAGGTCATTCGATAAGGTTGAAAGTAGCCATTTTGCTCTTATAACGTTTTTTATTTATTTCTAGCAAAATTATACATATTTTCAGAGACTGTAAACATTGGTCCAGCCAAGTCAAAGCTGTCATATTTCGTATAAACAAGTATCAAAATCATGTCCCTGGATTGAGCGAATACGGATTTTCGCTGACATAGCCGTATTCTAGCAATATCACAGCGGGTGACACCAAAAAAGGTCTTCACACATTGCACCCATGTGGTGAATTGAACCCGGTTCTTCAGCGTGATGAGCGAACATTTTAACCACTAGGCTACCCCCAGTGCCCCTAATGAGTGGAAAATCCAGAATATTAATGACAGCCAGTACATTAGAAATCCTTGTAGAGTGTTTACCTGATTGAGACAGAGCGGTACAATCATGTTGATGAGGCTGAATGAGATGGGAGTAATGTAGGTCTGGAAGCCAGGCAGATACTGGAACAACACAGTGATAATAGGAATTGCATCAATATCCTTTGCAGTGTTTTAAAACACATGGCAGAATAACCAAAACATATTGAAAAAAATTGACATTACAAGGTGTGAGTGAGTGAGTTTAGTTTACCCCGCACTCAGCAATATTCCAGCTATATGGTTGCAGTCTGTAAAAAATCGAGTCTGGACCAGACAAACCAGTGATCAACGGCATGAACATAGATCTACACATCTGGGATACAATAACATGTGTCAACAAGGACAGCGAGCCTGACCACCCGATACCGATAGTCGCCTCTTACAACAAGCATGGGTTACTGAAGATCAATTCTAACCCGGATCTTCATGGGTGATATTACAAGGAAAAGAAAACAAGCACTGATGGTAAACTGGGTATATTAAACATGGAGTCCCCCAATCCACAAGCCACATTTCCATTCCCTTTTCAGACACAGTACTTGTTAATTTATCCTGCGTTTTGCACACTTGTTACCTCTTGCAATCACTCATCTTACAAATTCCTTGATCCTAATCTAGTCTGTTGTGTCTATATGTGTTTGTTTGTTGTTTAACGCAACACTCAGCAATATTCCAGCTAAATGGCAGCAGTCTGTAAATAATTGGGTCTGGACAAAACAATCCTGCGATCAACAGCATGAGCATCAATCTGCGCGACTGGGATACAATGACATGTATCAACACCTGACCCCATAAGTCCCTCTTACAACAAGCATGGGTTGCTGAAGACCGAATCTTCACGAGTGTGTATATGTGTACATATGTATCTTGTTTGAATGTTATAGGACAGTGTATCTTACCTGCTCCACGCTGACACCATTGATGATGATGTGAAAGTCAGAGACGAAGTTGACAAAGATGACAAGGTAGACGATCCCTGTACAACCAGCTCCCACTAACACCCTGGGATAGACACAACGCTATCCAAATGCATTATCAGTATGTTTCCGTTCACATACCAAATGGTAATGCTCAAATCATACTTATCAGTCTTGATATCATTTAGCATTATAATAGAATAAACAACAAATTAAATCATATTTATGTCAGCAAAGTTAACCCTGGACGTCAACCTTTCAGCCTTCTCCTGAGATATGAAGGCCTTTTCAGGCAGATTAAAACTGAGAGTCTTCAATGAAAGAAAACTCAAAAACAAACAAAGATTTGTGGAAAATATTAATTTTTTCAGCATTCATAGATGAATAAGTAATTGATGATAGTGTCCTGTTAGTATTGTTTGTTTAAAGCAGCACACTGCATTGTTGTTTGTTTGTTGTTTAACGCCGCACTCAGCAATATTCCAGCTATATGGCAACAGTCGGTAAATAATCAAGTCTGAACCAGACAATTCGGTGATCAACAGCATAACCATCGATCTACTCAATTTGGATACTATGACATGTGTCAACCAAGTCAGTGAGCCTGACCACCCCTATCCAGACCAGTTCTAACCCGGATCTTCACGGGTCAGCAATATTCTACCTATATAAAGGCAACCTGTAGATAGTATATAAACCTGGAACAGTGACTGATGTCATGAGCATCGGGCCAAGGAAATAAAGTAATTGAGTCATGATGACATGCAATCAACCAAATAGATAACCTGAATAAATAAATTATAATGGTTTAACGGAAGGTCTGCTTATCTTATGACAATAACTGAAGTGTTTCTACTGCCTAGTAAACTTATATTCTACTGTGTCAGTATATAGCAAGGTTTTGTTAATCACTTGAAGTTCAATTGAACAGTAAACATTTCAAGTATAACATGAAAAAAACATCCTCAGTTGTCAAGTGAACATATCTGAATTTCACCAGTGATATCACCATCTGCATAAAAACTATCTCTAACTTTTCACACGCTCATTTGATGTCTAATTTTGGTCTATCAGCTATACATGATAAACATGAAGCTTCAGTAATGAATGGAGGCAGGGTATTTAAATTCAGAGTATTTTGAGTGTCACTGATTGGAGTGTTTAAAGTATCAATTAATAAATGACCGAGCAATTGAGTATGGTTTTACGTCACTTTTAGCAGTATTCCAGCAATATCATGGCGAGAGACACCAGAAATGGGCTTCACACATTGTACCCATGAAGCACTTTTCTGGTGTCCCCGGCCGTGATATTGCTGGAATATTGCTAAAGGCAGCGTAAAACAAACTCTCACTCATTTATTACTTAATACTTAAATAAATGAAAAAATATCACTATAGATTCACCATTTATTTTGTTGAATATCAAAATTCCGTGCGTATAGATTACCTACCTCTAATCAACTAAATGCTCGAGCCATCTTCCTCCCTATCATGCATTCTAACCATGGCAATGTCTACTAATTTAAACATTTCTGAGGCAGTGAATCATTGAGAAAGTATTGCTTTTTATGAATCTGTATAAATACAGCATCCACATTAAAGATACGAGTATCTACACATTGAGAATCATGATATGTGATGTCAGTTGTACTAATCACAACAGAATGAAGACATAATACACTCAGGGCTCCAGATATCCGTATCGGAGTATGTACGGATATAAAATAAGCACGATACTAGTGGTGGTCCGATTAATTAAAATAATCGAAGATTGGTCGCAGTGACTAAACGACCAAGCAATCGATCATGTTTTCTCATAACCGAACACAAACAATTCTGGAACACTTGGTTTCATAAACAATATTTTTCACAAGGTTGGTTTTGTCTGTTACATTTCATAAGCACTACAAGTTCGTTTCAAGTCATGATTGAATTTATCTTAAAGACTTCAAGAAATCTATGTTCCTGACATACTAGTCATCCTTTAAAGATGTGAATTTTGCCAAAAAATCCAAAAGAACTACATGTTTTTTCCTTATTTTTATGTGTATTAACAAATTTCATTAATGACGCTAACCAATTTTTTTCGATGATTGATCGGTTGTAATAAACCAATCATCAATTATGAGATTTTAACCAACACTACACGATACAGTAGGAAATAATTTAGAAAACGTAGCAGATATGCACCACAGCAATAGTGTATGGTCTTAGAATCATTTACAGATGTATTTATCTGAAATAGTATTGTTTCATTGTTCATTATTTACACAAGAGTAGCAATGTTGTGGTGCATATATGAAACGAAACTCAAGATTACTGATACTCCATTAAATTCCATTCAGTACTCTAAATGTACTCTTTTATTTGTTTCCACTACTCCTATATAGAACAAATAAGGAGTACGTACTCCTGATGTTGAAAACTTATCTGGAGCCCTGACACTGGATATTCAACAATGAAGAAAACCAAAGACACAAGTCTGGAACAGGAACATGAGAACTCACAACAGAACAGAGTAAACCCTTGACATATTTACAGTGTAATAAACCAAGCTATCATTCGCCTAGCATAAACTTTGCATTTCTCTCTCCGAGTCCAATTTTCAGGTCAAATCGGCAGCCTTAGCACCATACAAGTTATCCTACAAGGAAACGATGAGAGGGTGAGTGTATGTCACTTAATGCTCATGGATTTAGCTCGAGTCCTGTAATTGAGGGTCCCTGGGACTCACACTCTTAATTTTCAGGGGTCCTGGACTACAATATCATGATCCTAGACACTTAAATAATATCATTATGTTGTAATACTATGCAATACTATGTTGTAATTCAGTTATTCAGTTACTGCTATTTTATTGTGTATCATGATCATCATATTGTTACAGTAATTAAATTGCAAATAATACCATAACCTAGCTGGTAGTAGACTCAATGATAACTTATTGTCACTTGATTGGAATTTTTACAAAAAGTATTTGGATTTTTTTCTGGTCCCTGTGGATGTGCTAATAAATTTCGTTGCGTCCATTGTCAAGTTTTATGTGTATAGGATGCAGGAATTCATGTCCCATAAATCCCTGCTTAATGCTACAGTCAGCAATATTATAGCTATATCATAGTGGTGGCCTGTCAAAAGGGACAGGATTATCAAGGGTGTCAACTATTGTGTCTGGGACAGGTAACTTGGTAAGACGTGATACTGTCCAGCAGGGGATGGGTACCCGGGTGAGAAAAGTCATATGACTGTTAACCTTCTAGCGGGGTGGGTTACCTTATATTACCGTAGATAAGCCAAATTTGAGGACCAAAAGAGCAGTTTGTAGAAGGGGGTCGGCTTATCTATGGGTTACGCGTCAAACTTTTTTCCAGGGGTTAGAAAACAACATCGTATCACTTCGTGTGAACAAACAACAGAAGACGACTTTGTCAGTAAAGACGTCAAATTTGCAATTAAACATCACTACACAAGATTATTTACCCTTTTTGTGGGGGATCAGCTTATGTACGACACATACAATTTTGACACTGATTTTAAGGGTCAAGTTTGGGGGTCGGCTTATCTACAGTAATATATATGGTAACCGGGGGAATCATTAATATCTCAATGCTTTGAGCATGCACAAGCACGTGGATAAAGGTGCTGTATAAGGGTCCATCATCGTTATTATTTCGAATTTTTTCACCCATCATAAATGGTCAGTCCATAACTGAAAGAGAAAAGTTAATAATAGTTATTTATTAAAAGCTAAGTTAATACCTTCAAGCTGCTAGCAATGCCCTTGGACAGGTTGACTGAGGCTTCTTGCGAGCTTATACTGTGGTCCCATGAGGTGAATGTGAGCAGTGAAAAGCAAAACCTGGCCCTCACAGACTCCGACTGGCTTGGCTGCATTCCACTGGCCATGCTGAAGTCAACACTTCAATACAATACCTATGTGGAACTTGTATTCTGTTGTTACATAATAACTGTGACCAAGGGTCACACTGAGGTTTGCTATCAACATTACAGGTCCATATATCTTCTTTTTAACACTAAGATGCTAGAAACCTATAATCTACAAGTTCAAATCCTGGTTTGGCAGCTGTACTCTTAAGAACAGTGTGCAAAATAGCCACTGGCCCACTAGCCTGTGGCTAGTAAAAATCCAGCCAGGCCAGTAAATCTCTATAGTTACTGGCCCGACTGGCTGGTGAATTTTCATGGGGTCATTTTGTAATTATAAACCAAAAGTCACTGTGTTCTTTAATCTGACTGGTTGAAAAACGTGATCAAATGGTATTTGATTCCCGGAAATTCTCTGCGTATTGATACATACAAACATCGCTCACACCATTGTATTGTTACGTCGTCAGCTGTGATGACGTCATTAAAATCATATTGTGACGTAAAGTCCGAATGACGTCACAAATGAGCAGTTCCAGATGCTACCATGGGAGACAGCCGAAACGGCCGGCTGATGACATTTCACTGCTGTACCCGTACTCGATGTCAATGAGAGCAGACACAAAAAACGTGTGTGGACCTTTCTTCTTTCGGTTTACTTTTGTGTTTACAATGTCGATAAACATCATGTGTTGGCGAATTTCCGGTGTTATTGAGTATTTGAAGCACGGAATATTTGAATAATTCCCGTGCTTCAAATACTCAATAACACCCGGAAATTCGCCAGCACATGGTGTTTATCTCCTAAATATATCACTCTCTCCAACTTGTTACGTTATAATACACTTTTAGATCATGCAAGATTATGACTTAATGATGAAACCTGTGTCTACATTCAAATTTCAGGCTAGTATCTTTCAGGCATAGCTAGCCAGACTAGCTAGCAAAAATTGGAAGATATTTTGCACACTGATTAAGAACCACAGTGTATTAACTTTTGGTACAAATACATGAACAAATACAATTCTTAGTCTGTTTAGTTCTTAAAGCACTTATGCAGTGTATGAAATAAGGCTCGGCCAACTGCCCGAGACCAGCTAGATTTCTGATGGATGGTCTAAATTTACAGCCAGCCATCCAGCCCAATGGTCTTGTAAATATTTTTAGATGTTCCATACATCTGAGTACATTCATCATATCTTGGTGTCTGATCTGGTTAAATTCATTTTGGGCTGGTAACATTTTGAAGTTATCATCCCTTATGTCTGGCTGGGTTAATGGTTTATTTCATACACTGACTTATGTGGATAGAGTAAATGATTGTATCAAACATAATGTAGAGTGGCGTGGCGTGTGGTCCTGTGCACAGAGCTCAGGTCACGAATCAGATGAAGTTAAGCAACGTCTAGCTCGGACAGTCCTTGGATGGGTGACAGTGTTTGGCAGCTTGAATCCCGAGTTTCAGGACTTTAGTCCTGCCCCACAACGAAGCACATGTTATACATGGGGCTCACCTCAGGCAAGTGAGTTTGTTCAAAATAGCCTCTGTTCACCCAGCAGAAAATGGGTACCGGTTGGATAAAGTCATGTGACTATAACCTTCTAGCCTAAGAGTTATCCGAGTAATAAGAATTGATTCTGACTTAATGATGAAACCTGTGTCTACATTCAAATTTCAGGCTAGTATCTTTGATGGCATAGCTAGCCAGACTAGCTAGCAAAATTTAGAAGATATTTTGCACACTGATTAAGAACCACAGTGTATTAACTTTTGGTACAAATAATGAACAAATACAATTCTTAGTCTGTTTAGTTCTTAAAGCACTTATGCAGTGTATGAAATAAGGCCCGCCAACTGCCCAGACCAGCTAGATTTCTGATGGATGGTCTAAATTTACAGCCAGCCATCCAGCCCAATGGTCTTGTAAATATTTTAGATGTTCCATACATCTGAGTACATTCATCATATCTTGGTGTCTGATCTGGTTAAATTCATTTTGGGCTGGTAACATTTTGAAGTTATCATCCCTTATGTCTGGCTGGGTTAATGGTTTATTTCATACACTGACTTATGTGGATAGAGTAAATGATTGTATCAAACATAATGTAGAGTGGCGTGGCGTGTGGTCCTGTGCACAGAGCTCAGGTCACGAATCAGATGAAGTTAAGCAACGTCTAGCTCGGACAGTCCTTGGATGGGTGACAGTGTTTGGCAGCTTGAATCCCGAGAGTTTCCAGGACTTTAGTCCTGCCCCACAACGAAGCACATGTTATACATGGGGCTCACCTCAGGCAAGTGAGTTTGTTCAAAATAGCCTCTGTTCACCCAGCAGAAAATGGGTACCCGGTTGGATAAAGTCATGTGACTATAACCTTCTAGCGCCTAAGAGTTATCCGGAGTAATAAGAATTGGATTCTGATTAAGCGCCACGAGCAATCACTTGGTGTTTTAGATCATGCAAGATTATGGCCTCATAAAAATGTTCATCATATTAGCAACTTAATGATGAAACCTGTGTCTACATTCAAATTTCAGGCTAGTATCTTTCAGGCATAGCTAGCCCGACTAGCTAGCAAAATTTGGAAGATATTCTGATTAAGCGCCACGAGCAATCACTTGGTGTTTGGAGACAGTGCGCTATAGAAGATGACTTATTATTTATTAGAGTTTTCATGACAGGGCTTTATCTCAGATTCCAAACTAAGTGCCTTTGGCAGGCAGTCTAGTAAAGAATCACAATATTGTTCAAAATAATGTTATTATTATTTATTTGAGTGATTGTGAAAATTTCAATTTAGATTAGAATTTATAAAGACATCACCTGCCAAGTGTAGACAGAATATCAGCCTTTAATCAGGTCTGGATAAATCCTTGTTGTGATGACATTATTGTGAAACTCACCTTCTGAGTATAAACAAAAGACTGCCGAAGTATGTGATGATGATCATGGAGAGGTAGGCGAGGCCTGTGTGGTAGGACTGGATGTGTCTTGATATCTGCAGGTCCCCGACCCCCAGCTGGGGAGAGTAGGCACAGAAGAACACCCACGACTCTCCGACTGGACCCTGACAACAGATACAAAACCCCTACAATTGTAGACGACAAGGGAACGAAAAGACTTACAGAAGCTCACCGACACAACGCCATTGGCCGTTTACAAGGACGGACATCGCAGCATGATGTGGCAAGGCACTTCAGCGTGTCCAGACAGACCATCTCAAACCTATGGACCTGATACAAAAATACTGGGAGTGTTAATGAAAGACCAACCTGGTCAGGTCAACCTGGAGTTACCAGGATCGCTACATCCGGTTGAGACATTTTCGTTCAAACACCATGGCCGCATCATCCACAACAATCCAAATCCCTGGACTGTTCCGAATCTCCTACCAGACAGTATGCAATTGGCTATGGAAAGCCAGACTTTTTGCCAGAAGACCAGTTCAACGTTATGTCGTTTCCTACATTAACGTGATCTTTGGAGCATGACAATGCTTGACCTCACGTTGCACGTGTTTGACAGGTCTTCCTCCAGCAAAACAATCTTCAGTTGTTACCTTGGCCTTCTCGATCACCGGATTTGTCCCCCATTGAACATATATGGGATACTCTTGATCGACGCTTGTGCCAGCGTAATCCGCCAACTCAGACACTACAAGAACCGCACAGAGCACTTTAGCAAGTGTATCAAAAGATTCCTCAATACAACATTCGGCATCTCCTTTCTTCTAGGGGTCACTGCTGTCAAGCTGTTATTGATGTTCATGGTTGTCACACCAGATACTGACATTTTACTCTGACCAAGTGGCTTTAATAGCCCTCTGTGGTTTTACCAAACACTTTCTGGATAATCATGTTTGGAAATTTGCAAAGTGATGATTTTACTGTAACTGAGCAATGATGTCATGTTTGAGTCAGTTATATGCACTCAGTAAGTTAACTCCAAAACAGCATGTCAAGTTTCTTTTTTTGAAGAGTATATAAAAGTTCATGTGTTATTATATAACAATATTGAGGTGAATATAGTCTGTAATCCTACCTGTCCATCAAGCAGGTTGGCGTAAGAGAAAGAACTGTTTATGGCTGCGTAGTTGAAGGCCACAGCAGTAGGCAGGACAACTAATCCCATCCACACTACGGCCAGAGCAACATTCAATAATATCACCCATCGAGTGAACACGAAGAAAGTGCCAATTCCAGATCCAAAGTTACCTGGGAAAGATGTTTTTTAATTAAAATGTGAATGAAATTATTCTTACAGACACAAAGTTCTGAATAAAGTACTGAAATATATTCATTGCTGCCAAAATGAGTTTGAGTTACTGTGTACAAATACTTATGCACTTAGATGTCAAGTACCCAATGGTATAATATAAGTTACATAATACTCAGTGTGGCCTTTCTGAGTTCCATACTTGTAATTCCTTAAAGTTGTTTACTTTCTGATCGATTGTTGGCATTGAGTACATGAACTATTGATGCACAAAACTCTATTGACTTTGTGAAGCAACAAGTCAGTATCAACATTATTTACGAGGTGTACAGGTTCTTCTATACCAAATAAGCATCAGTTGTTAAATAAAGTTTTTGTAAAGAACCTTGAGTGCAGATTGAAACATCTGGCAGCTGTGGCTCATTTTGTCCAAGATGTTTTCTTTTTTTAATGGTATATTCATTCAGTATACGTATTTATAACTGATCACATTTCTCAATATTAAGTCTTTATTTACACAATTATATGATCACATATTTTCAAGTGTGCAGCATTTGTTTCAGAACATGGTTGGAGAGTATAATAACCACCTGTACTGATTAAACCAGACACTTATTTTGGTTTTCAGTGAGTGAGTGAGCGAGTGAGTGAGTGAGTGAGTGAGTGAGTGAAGCAAAGCATTCCAGCTATATGGCACGGTCTGTAAATAATCGAGTCTGGACCAGACAATCCAGTGCTCAAATGCATAAGCATCGATCTATGCAACTGGGAACCGATGACATGTGTCAACCAAGTCAGCGAGCCTGACCACCTGATCCCGTTAGCTGCCTCTTACGACAAGCATGGGTTACTGAAGATCAATATTCTAACCCGAATCTTCACTGGTCGGTTTTCATTGATGCTTTAAGACAAATGTACATATAATTGGTACAGAGAGCTTAGTTATATTTAAAACAAGATTACATAAACGTATAAGTATTTGGGAAAACATTTGGTTTTTTGTGTTCCGAGATACAGTTACCACAGGAAACCTTTTCCCTGTGACGTCTTCGACTTACTTTCCATAGTTTTAATGTATGACTTGAACACTGGCAGCTCCCAGTGTTTGTTCTTCCTTCTTCTATACCAGATCTGAAAAACAGTACACAGGCTGAAAAATACCCACAAAGAGCAAGTTTAAAGAGTTGACTTGTGGACAAAATAATGAAGATATATTCAGGTGATTGGTGAATGTGGTTTATTTATGGGTGAGATGGGTTTTTACAATGTTGTTTTGTAATGTAAGTATTCCCAAGTTGCATGTAGCAACTTATGACTTGTTAGGATCAGTGTCTTCATAAGCTGCCTAATTCACTGGTCAAGAGTGCTTGTAACAAAACTGTTGCAAGCCATCATATATACCATCCAACTTTATAGCTACAGAATATGTATTTTGTGTTAACCTAAAAGTATTTGTATGATTTTAGACCATTATGCCAATTATCAGTGAAGCTGCTTGTACGATACATTTGCCAGACATCTGTTGTGGTTCTGAGACTTTTACATGCATGTACAAGTACATTGGTCATAATCAGTGTACAGTAAAAGCCCAGTTAACTAACTGTGAGTTTCCCATGACCTACAAAGTAAAAACAAAACGACAATAGGCCAAGACATTAAATCACGTTGTTACGAGAGTGTGTTTTTTGTAATCTGTAATAACATTGGTTAGATGATAATAATTATGAGGCACAATGTTTAAAGTTTTGAGTGTTGGTTGTGGGTAACATTTTGAGTCATATATGTTCAGTGGCAACAGTATTTTAGTGGCACGCCTTTATGATTGTGCTCCAGAATTACCTCCCTTGACCGGATGTTTATGTGTGTATGTTCAACACGTTTTGAGATAGATCTAAGTGGTTAATGATACAGCCATGCTTTGCTGGAAAGTTCGAGAATCTGTGTCAGTATATATAAAGGCTGGCTGTTGTGTTGTGCGACACCAGAATTATATGGATCTTTCACTGGAGTTGCCCATCGTTGTTTGCTTTCGTCACATCATCGTCTGACCCTGACACTTCGTGCCTGACTGCTTTCATTTGTAAACAAGCTCCATTTACAAAATCTGATCTCATTGTGATTACCAAGACTCTGGTGAGTTAATATTTTATATATGTGACCCATAACTTTAGTTTTGTGACTCAATTGCATTGTATTAGAAATCTGTATTGGGATTCATTGTAGCTTGCTCATTGTTTGCTCAATATATTATTGAATATTTTAGACTTGTCTGTGTTATATCTTGCTGGTTCAAAGGGGATTCTTAAACCTTTTGTCACGGCAATTATTTAACCAAACAACGTGTTATTGACTGACTTGGTGATTTGTGGAGACAAAAATGTACTGACTAGAATTTTCAAGTTTTTGAATGGCATTTAGAGTGAGTGAGTTTAGTTTTACGCCGCACTCAGCAATATTCCAGCTATATGGCGGCAGTCTGTAAATAATCGAGTCTGGACCAGACAATCCAGTGATCAACAGCATGAGCATCGATCTTTGCAATTGGGAACCGATGACATGTGTCAACCAAGCCAGCGAGCCTGATCACCCGATCTATTTATTATGAGGAACACAATGTTTCGGAGTATATCCATATACCAGTACTCCGAAACGTGAAGACGTTGACATCCATAAAAACTCTCTTCCTTAGAATTTTCAACTAGGCAGCCTTGTAATCTTTACAGAAATGTTACCAGCCCAATTTCAAAGTTACTAGCATTTGGCTAGCAGGCAAGCAGCTGTTTTAAACACTGGCTGGGATACTGTATACAGTGTATACAGAACGACTAGTGGTGATGGAATGTCAAGGTAGAGGAGACTGTTGTTTATAAATCCACTTAGAGTTTTGTCTGGTTGAACATTACTTAGCAATCCACTGAGATTTAAGTGGAATATTATTGACTGGAGTTTAAAATCTTCACTTACAAATGCATTAATCAGTCAGAGTTCAACTTCTTAAATCATGACCTACCTTGAAGTCATGAAACTTGAGTTTCCCAAAATCCCAGTTTGGCTCTGACGTTCTTCCTTGCCAATCTAGACCTTCAAGTTCAAGAAAAGAGAAGGAATGAGACTTCTGTGACAGGTTACATGTCAAATACAGAGTGTGACACCAATTCTTACAATGCCTCTATCCATGGATAACTTCATCCTTGATAATCTCCAGGGTATACGTTCGATAAATCTCCACTATACCCTGGATGCATCTATGGTTTGGCCCGATAATATTATTACCTCCCTTTGCTGGCTCCGCATTCTCACAGTAGCCAATTAAATAAGCCGCCGTTACAACTGAACTTGCCAGTGTCAACAAAGATAGTGGTCGCAGCTGCGAAAGTTTGTTTGCAGTGCGATTCAGGTTCGGGGGGTAAAACATACAGACAAATTGACAGATCTGAAATCTTAAAAATATATATGCAAGAACTCCTTCTACATCTTTCAGAGTACATCTGCCAATATAGTATTGCGTTTTCAAGTATAATCGGTTAGATAATTTAAAAAGCGAAAGTGAGTTGAGATTGGTACGCTTAACTTCCCAGTGTAGACACCTGATTGGATAAAAAGCCAACCAAGGGAGGTAATCATCGGGCCGAGCAGTAGATGCATCCAGGGTATCGTGGAAATTATCGGAACATATACCCTGGAGATTATTAAGGATGGGATAACTTACACACAACACTGTCTAAAGAGCTAGGGGTGGTGGGGTGGCCTAGTGGTAAAAAGCCGATTCCTAACATGGGTACAGTGTGAGGAGCCCATTTCTGGTGTCCCCAGCCATGATGTTGCTGGAATATTGCTAAAAGCAGCGGAAAACCATGCTCACTGACTCACGCCAGATGTGGATTGTAGTGGAGAAATAATGAGAATAGACTGATTCCTAAAGAAGAATATGCAGGTTCTTATATATATTGATCCTAGATTGATACATCACTTCTCCATATTTTTGTATAAAGACCAGTAGTTGCTTTGGTCTGTTAAAATCTATGTTCTGAGTGGTCAGTGAACTCCTAACTCAGAATAAACAGCAACAGCAATAATACAATAGATCTACTGACTGACTGACTGAGTTTAGTTTTACGCAGATTTTAGCAATATTCCAGCAATATCACGGCGGGGGACACCAGAAATGGGCTTAACACATTGTGCCCATGTGGGGAATCGAACCCGGGTCTTTGACGTGACGAGCCAACGCTTTAACCACTAGGCTACCCCACCGCCCCACAATAGATCTAAAATACAAGGATTTAATTATCAGCATAACAATAGAAAAATGACATTATGGAATGCCATACAAGTGTCACAAGCTAAAGTAAAGTGACTCAGAATGTTGTCTTGTGGTCTGAATTAGTCTACAGGGTTTAAAGTCAGTACAGGTCTTATATATACTCACACGCATAAGAAACGCAAGTCTTTTTATCCAAATAGGAAACTACTCGGAACCTCGAATTGATATGAGTTTTAGCATATAGTGAAGTCTGATGGAGTTATCAATATTTTTTGTTGCGTTTTGGAAAGCCTGAGTAAAAACACATCAATAGAAGGAATCACCAAAATGCACCATACCAATGAACATGTGGGTATCATGCACACATTTCTCGTGAAATCGAACATAAACGAATTGTCAATACCATTAGTGGGTATAAGTCTGTGCACAAAAATTGGGTCTATCACTCCTTGTTCACCAATGCCACGCTTAACTCAGATTGCAAGAAACCAGGCTATCGGACGTTTGGAAGCTACAGAGTCTGTCCAAGATGTTGCCCGTCATTTTGACGTAAACATAACCACGATTTACCGTCTCCAGCATTGATACAACACAGACCACAGATGACATCCTCGGAGCGGTCGTTCTAGGGTCACCACCCCTCGACAAGATCGGGACATCACCCGTCAACACCAGCAAGATCCGTTCTTGTCAAACCCTTTACCTTTCGAAAACTTAATGATGTCATCAGTCTTGGTAGCCAATGAAACATCTTCACACAATTATTGTCTATTTGACCCTGTTTGTATTCCTTGTATTCCTTATGTTGCAAATTACATACATATATACATTACACTTGACTTGCGTTACTTTTGCATGTGAGTATAGGAGCTGGCCATTAGGTGCCTGATACTGAGGGTGACGTGCATTTGAATCCCGGATGGGATAAAAGTACCGGTACTAGAATCTGTACTTTACTAAGACAGTGTAATCCCAAATAAAACAAAGGGGTACAGAGGGGTACACAAAGTCTGTGGTCTAGAGTACCAGTTGTCCGTCTTCCATTTTGTTGAAAATCCAAAATATAACATACGTTACATTTGACCACTTTCTAAATGTCTCTGTGTATTCATATGTCTTACTGGGTTTACTAGAATCCACAAAATTCAGAGCTGGGAAAGGTTTCAAAAGAATACAATGAAACTTCCGGATTTCTTCATACAAAATACAGAAAAATATGTAATGAAAACCTATCTAATTAAATTTGTGTTCCCCGAAACATTTTTTGTAATTTTTGTAGTCTGCATCCCCATGTAAAAAATAATCTCTTCCTAATTCCATATTTACAGAGATTGCACAGTCTTCTTGTCTCAGGCATGGAAAAGGTTTCTTACAACGTGATGTAATGTTTCATAAACTAGCACAAAATCAGTCTCTGTAGAAAACTTATAAGTCTGCAACTCAAGCCTTTTAAAAGGAAAAGCATATTGGTCTTACTATACTAGAATATATTTATTTGGCCCCGGATACCTCAAAATGTATTACAGTGGAATCTGTCAAATCTGGTTTTCTCCCTAATCTGGACTACGCTCTGAGTCCAGGCAAAATCGTTCTTAATTTATGAATAAAGCTTGCTTTAATCGGATTCTCTCAATTACGGAATATGGACTAAAATAACAGTCCCAACAATCAACTTGCTATATGAGAACAATGCTTTGGTGTAGCTGAACAATCACATGTCAACAAACTGTTTTCGTGGTGGAATGTACTATAGTCCGTCAACTGAACTTTTGGCACCCTGTTTTTCACAATTTACCTTTTAACGAAAAATGACTTCAAAATGTTTTTGTGCATACGCTCTTTATATCTTATGACCGATCTAAGGTTCAAATTTCATAATTTTATGTCAATTATTAAAGCTTCTTCTTAAGAAGCCATCATATAAAAATATGAAAAATAAAAATAGTTATACAGGGGAATACAATGATATGATGGAACACCCAACAACATGATGTGACACACGTGCATCTCGTTTACATTGTTACACCTGCAAGCAAATCTACAGGGACTGTATAATCATCACAAATCCATTTTAAACAAGTAGATTTATTGAAGTCTTTAAATACCTGGGATAAAGAATGTGAATGTGTTCTCCATCTGATCCTGAAGTGTCATATGCACCTAGTTCTATGTCTGTGTCACTGTCTGAGTTCAAATCCACAATCACTGGGTTAACACACCCCTTTTGCAAACCATCCTTTTTCCAGTACTGCTATTCAATATCTAGCACATGCTGTACACAACGGTTCCACAACTCTGGTGTAACGTCCCTGATTCTTAATGAACGATGTTCTTGACATCTCTTAATTTGAAAGAACGTTTTTTCTTGGCCACGTTGTTTTTTCTATGTCCCCACACAAGTTCCATAGGATTTAGATCGCAGTGGTAAGGCGGCAACCGAATGCCCTCGTGTCCACGAAGTTTCAGCAAGTTGTCAATTTGATACACTGGCGGTGGTTTCTTGGCAAGGATGATTTTATACAGTATTACCTTTGTTGCCTTTGGGGGATATTCAATGCCAACCATTGCACCATATCTCCCTTCCTTGATGTAGAGGTGGGGCATCTGTTGTTCGGTTCTCTGCAGCTATGGTAAGGAGCATTATCCATGACTACGACATATTTAGCGGGTAGTGTTGGGATAAGCTGCTCTGTCACATACTCAGTAAACACAGCTGAGTTCATTTCCGAGTGGTAGTTACATCCATCCGTGGACTTGGAACGGAAAACAAGGTCACAACCAGGAATAAACCCTGAATGAGAGCCTGTGTGAACAACAATAAGTCTCTCACCTTTCCCCAATGGAATCTGAATCCTGTTGTTGACTGCTTCTGGATGTTGCCACTATGGTTTGCATTCACCCATGTCTCATCTAACCACACAATCTCTCGTCCCTCTTGTCTCTTGTCATGTATTCTTTTCAGATAATGGGCTCTCATACAAGTGATATCTGCCTTTTCACATAGAGTCAGTTTCTGGCTGCTCAGTCTCTTGTATCTATATCCAAATTTGAGCAACAGCTTGCATATGGTATACTTTGATTCATTGATGTCATGGTCTTCTTTCAATATTTTCTTCAATTTACTTGATGTAACTGACATTGAGGTCCCTCACAACCCATCTATCGAATTCATCAAGTTTTCTTTTCTTTGCATGTTTTGAGACGGCCCCCGAGTTAACTGTCATGTCATCATCAGGCTCTGAAATAGTGCCATGGGAGATAACTCTTTGCAAAGTTCTTTTGCAGATCTTGGTGGCATTACTTGTTCTTTTGGTGAAACATTCAGTTGAGATAAGAGGTTTTTTTCGCTTTGCCTTGCGCTTGAAAAAATCTTTTGATGATTTGCTGGGCATCTTTGGACAACATCGTTTTTACTATTACTCTTCTACCTGTGTGCTGACGATCTATGATATCACTTGAGTGTGCTAATGTAAAACCCTGTGCGTGTACATTTCACGCTGACACACATTTTACAGTGTTGTTGGCTTTTCCATCATGTACGTTAACCCCTCGTAAAACTCTCCACAGTGTAATGGTAGGGTTATTTTTTTTTAGTAGAAATTAGGCTTGTTTTAGGGTGGGGACAGGTTAGGCATAGGCTAGGCTAAAAATAACACACCAGGCTTGGCCTTCAGTGGGCTGGTCCATTTAGCTCTTGAGGGGTAAGGACCCGCTAGGCAAGTGCCTTGTATGCTTCTTCCCCATTGTTATGCAATGGGATGGGCCAGTGCATGAGCATCTCATGAGCAGAGGGATCAGTCCACTGAACTTTTCTTTTGTAGGCATATATTGGGTAATTTTCAGAGCATTTTTTTTATTGGGTAAGAGTTATAGGTTAGGGGTATAAAAGGGCAGATTATTTTTTCCTCTGCACTCTGGGGTCTTACAGAGGCAAGAAAGGTGAGAAATTCACTATTTGTGTAGACTAGGCAAACAGAGTTTTAAGTTTCTTAAGTTTTAGTTTTAAGATGAAATAAAAGTTTTGGTTAGATAATGTTAGGTAGTTAATTTTTGTTTTATTTTGCAGGGAACATTATTTTGGGGAATTAAGTTGGGATAAGGGGCAATAGTATAGGCATATTTAATAGGGTTTTCACTTTTCACAGGATCCTTGGAGGCATTATTATTTTTGTTGTTTATTTAACTTAGTTTATTGTTGATTTTATGATATATATTAGTTGAGTTTGAAATAAATTTATTTGGTTTGCAAAATCTTGTGTTTGGTTGTTATTATGACTTTAAACCCCTGAATCCTGCAGACCTGAGGACCGGAAACAGCATCCTCCTGTTACAACAGTTTTACAATTATTACATGATAGGTTTAAAGGCAAACTCTTTAATAACCCCTTTCAAACGACTAAACTCGATATCTTGTTAGGTCACGATATACAATTACCATATGAACAGAGTAATGTTTTAAAATATTCAGGAGTTTTTTGTAAATTGTGAAAAACAGGGTGCCAAAAGTTAAGTTGACAGACTATAACTGGATACAACTTCCTCATTCCCTGGTTCATGCAACTTATGAGATATTCTCCTAACCTTTTCTTTTGTCCTAACTGTTCAACTTCATCCAGAAAGTCCTCATCCACTTCATCACGGTCTTGTGAAGGAGTCTGTCCCACCATCGGACCCCAGGAAGGCCTTGAGTCGAGATTTTGTTGCCGGGGGTGATTGGTCACAACACGGTGAGAGAACACCCTGCTCAGGGACATCCTGCTGTCTGTCACGACCTGCGACCGGGACAGAACATATTTCTGGAAGATTAGAGATCTATTGTCAAATTAAGGGTATGGCTTGATTGAAGGTCTGCAAATGCTGTGTATTATGTCTATTTGCTGACTTTGTGTGATATATTCTACATGGGTGGATCCAAGAATTTTGAAAGCAGGGGGTTCAGGGGGTTCGAACAAACATTTCCATTGGTGTCTAAACAGAACACATTGTTACAGTGTTCAAAATAGTCCTTATGTTTAAAGTTAAAGAAGTTAGAGGGCAATAGATTAAAATACCATAAGAAAAGACCTCAAGCACAACAGAACACCCTTTGAACACGACTTATACACCAGTCTCTCTAACAACCTTGTAATAGTCTTTTTGTTCTGAAACATTCAAGGTGTTCTCACTTATGATGACAAAGAGGTGGCATGGCAGCCAAGTGGTAGAAGTGTATGCTTGTCATACACACACCAAAGGTTCAGGTTCAATTTTAATATTTGAATAGTCTACATGCATGAGATGAAATAAACATTTAATGAATGTCCTGACTCCTCCAGCTCTGAGTGGTGTGGTGGGGTGGTCTACTCCCATTTGTGAGAACTCCCAGTTGTGAGACTCCCAGTTATGAGACAGTGGAGTCGGTAATTAACAACGAAAACACACCATACTCCCCTGTCTGATAGAATATATTCACCCTAGCTAATTACTGATTTGCTATGTAACTAAATCTTGTGGAGGTAACTTAATGATACTTTATAAGATAAATTGATTAACATACTCAGGTAAATCCTAAAATGTCTTTAATAATTAAACACTTTGTGTAGGTAACTTCGTGATCAAAGAGAAATTAATTTACCTACTCAGATTTACTCTGTCTCCGAAACTACAAGCTATATTTTAAGAAATAACTCTGAAATTTACAGTCGAAATGCCCCTTATGCCAAACCCTTTCTACCCGACACAATAAATTTATGGAATGCCCTACCAAATTCCAAAGAGTCATGCAGTCTCAAAGAATTTTAAAACCTAATTACAAAAACCAAAAACAAGATTTATATTGATCTTAATTATGGCTCTTGTTCTTGTAAAATCGTTCATTGCTGCCTCAGGCTCGGATCTAGCGACCCAAACGCCGATACGTATAACAGACATTTAATAAACAGTGCATGTTGCTCTTGTGGATATCAACTACCGGTTATAACCTGGATAATTTTTGAACGGAAACAAAGAATTTACTCCTTGCGTAAACCAGAAAATAGTTGAATCCGTCCACGATTATATCATCACAACCTTCCAATTTTCACAGGGAAATACTGAAATTAACTCAACAACCTTCCCATGATTGATTTATATTCCTATATTTATGCAATAGTCAATATCGATGACGTCACATCCTCCATTTCATTTTATATTTTATGTTGCATGGGAGCGGTGTTAACATAAGCAGTAATACTTCACCAATCCCAATTCATTTTCATAAATAATAATAAAATATGTTTAAACCAAAATGACTTTCAAACTTCATAATAGTCAATAAAAATTCTTCTGAATAAATAAAATATTCAATGAACTATGCCTCCTGTGGGTACTGGGCTGGGCTGATCCCACTTTCATTGTAGGGATGTGGAAACACCACCTATGTGCACTGAACCATTAATTAATGTGTCTCACAACTGGGAGTTCTCACAAATAGGAGGACACCGGTGGGGTAGCCTTGTGGTTAAAGCATTCAGCTGTCTAACCCGGGTTAGATTCCTCATATGGTTACAATATGTCAAGCCCTGGTTTCTGGTTTCCCTTGTGATATTACTGGAATATTGCTAAAAGTTGCATAAAACAATACTCACTCATCCCCACACTGAGGTAAATACCTTTGACGCTTGACTTGGTGTTGTAGAGTTGTGTCCTGTTTGCATGGAACCAGTCGAATTTCTCTGCTGTCTGGCTGATTCCATCTGAACTCTTGTATCCCTAGATCTTCGGTTTACTCTTTTGAAAAGATTTGACTTCATATGAATAACATACCATTAACAATTCCTGAATGCATAGGGTATGCAACAAATGTGTGATGGCAAATAACTAATTGACACTTGCTACCCATCCCATCATCTGTATCTTAACCAAGTCCCTCTGCTCCAGTTTTTGAGGTTATAGGTGCAGGGTCAAAGTGCACTGGAAATTTAAATACTTAATCTCTTGCTATTCAGAGACTAGTACAATTCAAGAGTGAGGAGAGATGTTTCCTATTTGTGCTAGATGACAACTTTGTAACAGATCATGTTATAGATAAGTGAAAATGAAATTAATGTCCAACCCTGTATGGTGTCTCTGAGATGATTGTAATGAGAAACGGGATAATGTAAGTCTAATAGAGGATATTAATTGGTGGTAGCTGGCTCAAGCTTATTCAGCTGTGACAACTGCAGTTTAATTTTAGGTTACTGGAGATTAAAGAGAAAAATGACATTAAAACTTCCTATTCCAGTAGACCAACTTATACCCTAGTGGTCATTTGGTTTCTAACTTGCTGGAGATATATGTAGTTCCTTAGTAGCTACCCTTTGTTTGTAACAGCAAAATATAGGGCTAGCCACTGTTCCAGTTTTTACAGATTGATAACCATTAACTAAATATCAATCGATTATGTACAAATATTGTTGAAGTGACTTATTTAAAGAATCTAACATATTTCACATCACTGGTGAGTGGTGACAATATTCATGCATGTCCAGAACATAATTGGAAGCACATCGTGAATAAAGACCAACCTTTGGGTATCAATATCATGTGAATAAAATAAAACTAACCTCACATAGGAGCACCATCGTGGCTCTCGACTAACCTTCATACAGGCCTACATATATATTGTAATGTAGAAAAGACGTTTCTCAATAAAAATATATTCTATTTCATTGCTGATTAATGTATGCCAATAACTTAGAACTTTAGATACGAAAGTTACCTACATTACGTCAAACGACATCTTGACGCCCGCCCTTCTTTCACTGTATCACGAGATTTGAAAGTTGAAACTATTCACAAACGTCAGCGGTTAATTTGCATCTGTACTGCATCTCATCTTCTCCATATTACACCATGTATAAGACATGGTTAATGTCCGAACATCTAATCCAAGAATGTAAACTTTTTAAGCAGGCGAAATCAAACAAGAGCGCCTGAAGTACTTTCAACCGGTTTCGCTATATGAGTGCGTAACGCTCAAACCTTATCTGTAGAAGGAACCAAGTTTATTAGATTATAATATTATAATAAAAACTAGTTTCAAAATTAGTGTTTTGTAATTTATTTTAGATTTCGTTTAATTCCATTTGAGTGTAATGTATTAATGTCACAAGCATCTTTAAATTTTTAACATTTATAAGTATTTAACGCGTGTGTTATGCAGTGTATGTTTGGTGTTTATACAATGAATGCGATCATGTATTAGATATATTTCTTGAAAATAGTATCAATGGGGGGGGGACATTCAAAGTAAGATGGGCTCCGTCTCGCATATCGCAACTAAGCTGGTTCCCGACTCCCTTTGCGCGCGCTAACGTTCGCCAAAGCTAGGAGCCGGTATAGGCTGCCATTTAAAACGCCCTGCTCGTTTATTTGACGTCACATCCGGATTGGTCAAACTGGATTCCGTCGCGATGAAAGATCTGGGAATCATAAGACTTGAACAGTGAACGTTGTGCGAGAATTGCGCTTACGTGGTCCTGGATCAGCGTATGGCTATAAAATTACATAGAAATGTAGAATATTAAATTTCCTATCCGTTGGTATAAATATAAGTGAAATAGACTCTGTTAAATGTTGTCCAAATTTGTGTTATGCGTTAAAAAGCAGTAAATATCTCCGCTTTTGATTGTGTATGTATTGATGAAAGCTCTGAGCTACGAATTTTTTAATTTGGCATCGTTACGGAAAGTGTGAGCGAAGAAAATATAGCCTGATATCTGAACGACATAAGTATATATGAAATGGGTTTGTGTGCTTATGCATAACGTTTTACGCTCAAACTTAAAAATGACTCGCAAGAAATGTCGAAAAAGGATTTTGTTCTATGACGTCAAACGACGACAGAGGGGCCATACACGTATAAAGATAAGGGGTCATAACTCCGACATGCTTAACACTAGGTCAATGTAACTCAGAATACTTGGAGAGAATTTGTTGTGGATATGGACGCTATATTCTCGTTATGGTTTATTCACCATGAACCAAACTATACTAATACAAAGTTCCACAATGTGAGCTGATATGTTTTGGTAGTTGCACAAGTCATAAGAAAAGATGACAAAGCACTACATGAGAAAGCGCGTAATAGCGATTTGGAAGGCCCTATCTGATATATAATTAAGTTCTTAGATTCCCATATTCTCCTGTTAGTGTAGATGTATTTTCACTAATTTTGCATCATTATTAATAGAGTACTAACCATATCTTCAAATGTAATGAAATTACTGAAAATAATACCACTGGATGCGGAAGTATTTTGTGACGCAGTTTCATAGGATCTGAAAGGTGAACGTTGCATTGGATCTACGGTCCTCCGACTATAACATTATGTTCAGATGTAGAATACATTTAGATCTGCTGACATTTGTCTAAAGGTACGAGATCTTGTATACAACACTTACATTGTTAATTTACTATTAAAAGTATGTTCAAACCAACTAAGTATCAAACGTTTGTAAATCTATAAACTACACAGTGTAAGATCTGAATTGTGATGATTTGTTTACATTTTAAACACTTTGTATTGATGACAAGACCATATTGCTTAAAAAGCCTACCCATGTTGATTTAATATTTGGTGAAAATTGATGAACAAAGAGTTTACCGCGGTGTTGATGCATCGCCTCAAATGTTTTCTTGTTGCTGTACTAAAGTGTCTTCAGGACACATTCAGCATTTTCTAAGTGAATAATTCAATACTTATATATCGCCACAAAATATTATAAATTCATATTCCGACTTACTACTGATTTTGTGCCAGTGTTGGCACACCTACCCGCTCTAAAGCATGTAT